TTATTACAATTATTTTTGCAAATTTTTTATTTTTTTAATATTATTGTAAATAGATACAGATAAAAGAATATGACGTCTATATACATGTTGTCTATTTTATTTCTCAAAATTGAGTAGTTTTCACTTACAATTTTCAATCAAAGTTTTGTTGTACTAAAGAATTTTTATATTTCAATTAATATTACAAATGACAAATGTATTATTAGATCTATGCATAAGTTCGTATGGTCGAGTTTACGGGTCAATAATCTTAGGAATTCGGTACGCGCTTCCTTTGCGGTTTCTACGTGACTCATTCGGCATCTACAAGGCGCCACGTGGGGTTAAGTTTTGAGTTTCGTTTCTTCAGTCGTTGTTTTGCCTTCATTTTGAGACGAATCCAGATAAAATACACCTTCGCTACTGTATGCTTTTTTTTTAACCAAAAGAAGACATCAGCAGAAGCTACTACGGACTGTTACAGTGCACAGCTTACAATGTTGGCCTAAGTTTTGCAGAAGAAGCGACCGAAATATGCACCAAACCAATGGCAGTTCATCTTCCAGTACGACAACGTATGTCGCGACAACGACAAAAAAACTATATTGGAGCTGGGCTGGGAATTCCCATTATCACCTATTCCACTCTCAATGCAACATGGCTTGTCTGACAAGCACTTTACCAATCTTTTTCGTCTTAAAGTCAATGATTTTCTATTATCGTGATTTAAAATCAGTGATTTTCTATTATCCATTTGCTGTCAGAACGTTGGCAAAAAGTTGTTGAAAACAGTGGACAGTATTTTGCATACAAAATGTTTCAACGAACTTTTACACGAGTTTGAATTTGTCCAAAACACCGTACGAACTTATGCATAGATCTAACATATTATATTAAAATCCGATAATATTGAGCTCCTTAGTAATAACTAATTACTTTCACAAAATAAAATACATTTCCAAATACATTTATTTATATTTAAATAAAAACAATTAAATGCGAATAAATTGTGAAATTTCAATAAAGATTGGAATGAAATCAGAAATATATTGTAAGAGGTGCATCCAAGTACGATTAATACAAAAGCAACATAATTTATGTAATTTATAATTCATATTAGAATGTAACATAATCCATTGATCTGTACTCGGTTACAATTAACGTGAATATTCAATTTTATTCATTATAATTTCTTTGGTTTGAAACTAATGTTTTTTTTATTGCATCCATAAGTTATTTAAAATTTGCATCTTTGTTTTCATGAAAATTTTTAATTTACAGCTGTTAATACTTTGTTATATCATTTATTATTGTTTTTGTGTTGTTTTAAACAGAATATACTCAAGTATACTGCTTTTGATGATGTTACATGAACAAAATACTTAAAATAATTCAAAACAGAGATCTGAATTAATAGAATTACTTTCATAAAGGCAAAATATTATAATATTTCATATATCACTACATTTACTGTACAACTAATTTATGAAAGGTGTAATAATATTCGTAAAATCTACCTACTATACTTGGAAGAATTTTTTTGTGATGCAAATTTGTTAAAGAAGTTTGGTTTACAAAAAAAATAATAAAATTCTATAAAGCAATATGGAAAAGCATTTTAAATATTTTAATTATATCTACACATATATTAGTAAATAATAATTATTTGTAAGTTTTGCGATAAGATAATATAATATAAGGAAAGCATACATTTTTTAAATTTCAAAAATCTTGTAAAACATTTTACAAAAATGAAAAATGATGCAGAGCAGTAGTTTAGTCTTTTAACAAAACTGTGCACAAAAGGAAGATTTTTACGAAAAAACCACTTCTGTATACAGGGTGTCTTAGACCGGGTGTTACCAGACAAGAAGTGATTTTATATGCAAAGATAAGTCGAGAATATTGTACATAGAATAAAATTTTCCTATAAGAGGTTTAGTTTCCAAGAATATTGAATTTAAAAATTCGTCATATTCGTGCATTTAACTCAGACTTATATTTATATTAATAAGTGATGCCAATGTCACGATGTGTATTTATCATACATTTATTAACGATTTCCTTCATTTAAATTTACATTACTGAACAAATTATTGAAAGTGATGTCCTTGTTTATGCAAATCATACAAATTCTTACTCTGCATCGGAGATTCGTGGACTGATGATACGGTATTCTAGAATCACCCCTTAAAATTTCTCTCGTGTGATCGAACACACTTCATGTATGTACGTATATGAAGAATAACGAATTCCACATTACTATTATATTTTCCGCTTGACATCTTTAGAATCATAATAGGCTACATACCTTACCGTATAAAAAAAGATTGTTCTTCTAATTAAGGATAACATTTAAAATTATATTACTTGATATATACAGAACATTATTTAACAAAATTTCTTAAACAAAAAAAAAAAATGTACATATGTAGGTTCCTCCGTGCCTTTATTTTTTATACCATACGTTAAAAAAGTGTACTATACGTTACAAATTAAGTCCTCAGACATACAAACATGTACATAGTTT